CCCCAAAACCCCAAAACCCCAAAACCCCATTATTTGCAAAATTAATTTCTAGATAGATAAGTTAAATTAAAAACAATTATATGAATCTGATTATAAATTTATTAAAACTAATTTGTCGTAATGTCATCAGCTAAAGATAAACACATTGTCATGGATCTGCTCATTAAAACTCTTACTGTTTCATAGGAATCACCGAGTTCATTCAAAATTTGCTGGGGCAGAGGTATATTGAAATTGATAATTATTTTAAGGTGCCAAGAAAGTAACTACAAAAGAATTCAAAATAGCTGAATAAGAGGGAGATTAGATAAGCAAAGTTGAAATTAACGAAAGATTTCAGATTTAAACATGCATTTTCTATAGCGAAATAGATAAACAATATGAGTCAAAACCTGTATCTACTCTAAAGTTATTAATAAAAATTCATAAGCCTATTAATGATAATCAAGTATAATCTTAATCTTTTTATAGTCACAACTTCAGGTGTTAGATGCTTAAGGATAAATATTTGGGTAAACAGCTTTTGATATCGCCCAATATGCCCCTTAGCTTGAAGATGAGTAATATGCAAGTGATCCTAATAATAAACTTAAACTTCCATTGAACCTTCCACTGCTGTCAGAATCCTAACAACCATCAGATTCATCATTGGAAATTACTATCATTCTTGGCTATTAAAAAGCGACATTAGAAAGATAGTAAACAACTCCTGAGTAAAAATAAAAGTTACAAAGACAACAGCTAGAATAAAGCCATAAAAAGAAACAATAAGACATTGAAAATAACAATCAAAAGCTAACATAGGAGATACTATTCCAAGATATGAAGTTGAAAGGTTAGTAAGAGGAGTATGATTCAATTATGGAACAGTATAACAGTAAATTAGAGTCATTGATATAGCAAGAGATTTAACTTGGAAACGTCATAAATTTATTGAACTAGGAGATCGAAAACAGCTAGAATTAGTTTGATTAAATGAGTCATTCTCTCAACTCTGGAGATCCTGAGCTAGATCGAATTGAGACTGAGATAAGAAACAAAGAAAAGAATATTCAAGACATTAAAGATTAAATGAAAGATCTGAATAGTGAAAACAACAAATTTCAAATTTAAATGTAAGAATTTAGACTGTTAAATATTTAGAAAACTTTGGAAATCTTTACTGGGAAAAATAAACAAAATTGAATAGGAGGAATACGAAAGAGTATTGCTTGAATATCAATAGATAAAAAATGAAGACTAAATCAAATATCAATTTGAAAGTTTTGAGGAATTAGAAAGAATTAATCAATATCTTGATTAATGAACTAAAGAGTTGGATATATATGCAATGAAAAACTTGAATCTATTAAGTGATCGAAATTATTAATTTTTATTAGGGTGAGTTATTTATTAATTTATAACTTCAGCTTAATACATTCATCTCTTAAGGCCAGTTTTATTTTTCTTCTTCTTGTTTTCATTTCTTTTGCTATTCTCTACTCTCTGCTTGAACTCTTCGATACCTAAGGGCTTTTCACTCGCTTCATCACTTAAATCATCATCTGAGAGTTCCTCTCCAAAAGACGGTGGCTCAATTCTAAGTGGCCCATGTGTTGGAGCTACGTTTGGACCAACTCCGCCAAAGTTAAATGCTTCATTGTTTCCATCTAGATCATTGTTATCAAATTATCTCTATTGTTAAATGTAGGCATAGCATTAAAGAATCTCATTAATTCTCTATTCAATTATACCCATATAAGTCATCATATTTGACTCTGTAACTCCTTATGTTCCTAACAACTCTTGGTGAGCTTTTTGATCGCACTGAATAACATTGAATATGTTTTCAATGCTTGACTTAATAGAATTAACCTTTGTTTGAGCCTATCCGTATTCAAGACCTAATTGCTCTGCCTTCATCTCTGTTTTTGATAGTTTTTCTTCTAAATCTTTCAGTGCCTTCTTTCTCTGATGATCTGTGCTAGATCCTTAGCCTCTATTTCTTTCAATTTCAATTGACATTTCATTGATCTATTGCTCAAGATTTTCAATTTCATTGCTCAATTCATTGACAAATTTGAAAAGTGCAAAATTTTTCTCTTCAGCCTAGATGAAGTTTTTTACTAGTACATCGATATCATGAATACCAGTTGCAGCTTCAATTTTGGCAAAAGCTTCTTCGTACGACTCAGCCTTCTCAAGAGTAACTGTTGTTTAAATCTTATCCTTTTATGCACTCCACATCATTTTAGATTTTCTCTTTTCATCAAAAGCAGCACTGTTACCTAGAATTGCTTCAGATTTATTCAGTGTTATTCTTTCAAGCTCGCTCTTCTCAGTTTCCTTTAATTTCATTAAGTCTCTCATCTGCTTATCCTTTTCAATAAGATTACTGACTTATTGCATTTCCTTTTCAAACTCAGTCTTTTCTCTCTCAGCTTACTAAATTAACATAGCAAGTTTTTCTTATGCTCTATCTCTTTCCTCATAAGCACTATTCGCGATTTCTATAATGTTTGCCATATCTTTTCTTTTGTTGTGTAATTCCTTCTCTAGCTTTCTGTAGATGTTATCGAAAATTACTCTTTCCCTTCTTAAACTATCGATTGACTCTCTTAACTACTTGTTGTGAGCTATTGCTTCATTGAATTTCTAGTTCGCCTTATCTAATCTATTTTCTAGAATCTTAATTTACTTTCCTAATTACGAATGTCTCTCCTAAGTTCCATTAACTCCCTTTTATTTTCTCTTTTAGTCTATGATTTCTTGTTAGAGAGTTTGTATATCTTCATCCATTTCATCTTGAGATCGCTTCTCTTCCTCAATTCTTTCTTTGATTTACTTAATCTCTTCGGCAATATCTGTTATATTCTTCTGAGATTGCTGTGTAGTCTTGCTCTTTGCCAAATGATTGTTTTATGATTGAAGTTCTTCTTTCAGTAACTAGTTTTCTTTTTGAAGTTTTTCAATCATATTTTTTTGCTTTTTAAGTTAGGCTTGAGTCTCGTCATTATAAGTCTTTCTATCGTTTTCAATATTTTTATATTTTCTTTGTAAATCTACATATTCTTCTTAAGGAGTCAATCCATCACCCTCTGCAGTTTTTCCTTTTCCGTTCATTTTTCTTAAATTATGAATTTATTTATTACAATAATCAAATATTTGAAATTTTCAGGGTTATGGGGTTTTGGGGTTTTGGGGTTTTGGGGTTTTGGGG